GCTCATATAAGCATCCAACCTATGTTTGAAGCTATTCAGCCTCTTCGAGTTAATGATGATATTTGGTAACTTGTTCCATTCATCCACTACTCTGTTTCCAAACCAGTGTTTACCTATTTCACACATAAATCTAAATTTAAAGATTAGTAAGGTCATTACCTAATACCTGACCATTGTGGACCTGGTCTCATCCTCCTCTGTATATATACACCTTGTTTTGTACTTCTCTTTAGTCTGTACTCACCCCTGAAGATGTGAATTACACGAAAGCGCTTGGGAACTTCGTGTTTTCTTCTTTCCTTGTGGTTATCAGCATATACCTAGATCACGCGCACCTACAGTGATTTACTTGCATATATATATATATATATATATATATATATATATATATATATATATATATATATATATATATATATATATATATATATATATATATATATATATATATATATATATATATATATATATATATATATATATATATAACATACTAGACAATGTTTACATACAGGAACATATATAAAATATAGTCCTACCTACTGAAGAAGCAGTGTAATTACCTCTCAATCAAATATATTCAGTGCCTTATAAAACTCCCTCCCCAAAGATAAAACACTTGTGTTTTATTTTCAGTCTGGTGAATGAGATAGAGCATTTGCTACGAAATACTGTCACTCCTTCACAACATACCAAGTCCATCCCTCACTCCTACACAATACTACAAGTTCATCCCTCACTCCCACACAACATACCAAGTCCATCCCTCACTCCTACACAACATACCAAGTTCATCCCTCACTCCCACACAACATACAAGTCCATCCCTCACTCCTACACAATACTGCAAGTCCTTCCCTCATTCCCACAAGTCCATCCCTCACTCCTACACAATACACACAGTTCACTCCCTACACTCCTTCCCTCACTCCTACACAATACTACAAGTCCTTCTCTCACTCCTACACAACATACCAAGTCCATCCCTCACTCCTACACAACATACCAAGTCCATCCCTCACTCCTACACAACATATCAAGTCCATCCCTCACTCCTACACAACATACCAAGTCCATCCCTCACTCCTACACAACATACCAAGTCCTTCCCTGCAGAGTTAATCACCATCAGTCTTTGATTCTTGTTTTTCATTCGACTTCTGAACTGTAATAAATTATGGTCACTGTAAACTACAATTCTCTGGTAGGTGTTGCCAAGATATATATGAAACTTTTCCAATGCCATAAGCAGAGCCACAGCTTCTTTCTCTATTGTAGAGTAATTCCATTGCACCAGCCCTAACATCACTAGTAAAACATAAATTTTACTTACGAACCATTCAAAATCCTGTCTCTGCCTCGTCCAGTTCAACACGACTTCATTCCATCTGGCAGTCGAACCCGAGGCCTCCATCATCCACAACAGGTACCTTGCCAGTGAGCCACCATACTGTGTCAACATTAGATCGGGTCAAAAAGGGCATACATATTTTAGATTGCAATTTAGAATTTGTAATAGTCTATAAAAAAGTTGCTTCTATATAAAGTTTATCAAACTTCAACATATGGTATTAGTCTTGAATTACTACAATAAAAGATTGCACCAATTCATGATATAAGTGTTAACAAATTATGTTTGATGAATAGTGTTCACTTCTTTGATAACTGCCCTGTTCACACGACACGAGAGATGAAGTGCTGGTCAGAGGAAAGGTCGAATGAAATTGACCTTTTGGACTGGCCATTTAAATCTCCAGGTCCATATTCAATAAGTTTCTTTCAGTCAAACAATACACCTTTTCCTTTACCCAATAGAATAATAATGTTGTATTTTCATTGAAACATTTAATATCACAAATATAATATTGTATAGGGCCATTGCTTGTGTTAAGAGATCACTATGACTGTTTGTGAGTGCTACCCAGACCTCAACCCTATAGAGACCATTTGGACCCAGATAAGTGAACGCGTGGGAACCTGAAGACAAGCTAAACACTGGTCCCGACTCCCCCCTACACACCCAGGACGAGTGTGAGCAGTGGACGAATGGAACAAGCTTAGCAACTTTGTAGTAAGTGATGGAACGCTGGAAAGTTTTAAAAGAAGACTAGAACAACAATGCTGGAACAACAGTGCTGGAACAACAATGTACCGATACTAATTCCAGGATTTTATTCATATATCCACATATTAGCTTTGGTAAATAGCCATCTTAATAGCAGTATTATCTATCTATACCACATGCTAACTTTGGTTAATAGCCATCTTAATAGCAGTATTATCTGTCTATCCACAAACTAGCTTAGGTTAATAGCCATCTTAATAGCAGTATTTTCTGTCCGAGTCACAGCATCCCCAACTCCTGCACACACGGCTGAGAGCTACACTGCCGCCTCCTCCTCCCTGGACCCCACAGTACAACAACACAACTTATCACCTTACCTTCACTCAACTGCTAATAACCACAACGTAGAGTCCTGTAAGTCCTCACGACGCCACAAACACGAGGTAATCCACAAACTGCAAACGTTAAAAATGGAAATAACGATCAATTACTGTATGACCACACACACACATGTTGCCCCCACCACTGCCGTACCTCTAATGATCACTGGCGAGTGGCGAACCCGAGGTGCTTCGATTCCTTAATTCATTGGTTCGCTTTACTGATTCATATGAAAATAATCGACTGGACGGCGGAAAGAACACCATACACGATTGGTCCGTCATCTATAATCTCATTAATTTTCTTAAATCACTTCTATCCACCATTAGCAAAAATAAAACTGATAATTATTAACGAAAGATAGTCATGAGTTTCGAAGCTTCGTCAACGATCCGCTCTTACGTCACTAAACCAGTCCACAACCAAACAAGCAGTTGGCTTCCACGGTTAGCATAAGCGTAATACTTCCATTACTATTTTTATTATTATTACTATTATTATTATTATTATTATTATTATTATTATTATTACTATTATTATTATTATTTGGGATTTTAGGCCGTGAGACGTTAGTTAACGTTCGACTGATGACTCGCTCTTTGCTCATGAAGAATATCAAAATCATCAAATATTAATTTATTTTTCTTTCTAGGATATGTGGATGGGAGGAAGGGTGTGTGGTTGGAGGTAGGGTATGTGGATGGAGGTAGGGTGTGTGGATGGGAGGTAGGGTGTGTGGTTGGAGGTAGGGTGTGGGATTAGGGTAGGTTGTGGTTGGAGGTAGGGATTAGGGTGAGGTAGGTATGGTGGATGGGAGGTAGGGTGTGTGGTTGGAGGTAGGGTGTGTGGATTGGAGGTAGGGTGTGTGGATGGGAGGTAGGGTGTGTGGTTGGAGGTAGGGTATGTGGATGGGAGGTAGGGTGTGTGGTTGGAGGTAGGGTGTGTGGATGGGAGGTAGGGTGTGTGGATGGGAGGAAGGGTTTGTTATTTATTTTATATTGTTTGGCTCTCTTAGGCTTACGGCTGACTAGCTGAAATGAATGGCTGGCTGGCTTAGGTGAATGGCTAGCTAGCTGAGGTGAATGGCTGGCTGGGCTGAGGCAAATATCTGGCTGGCCAAGAACCCCACCAAACAGATCCTCAATGCCAGACAGGCTGCATGTCGTCATTGGCAAGTACTGGGCAAGAACTGGCTCCAGAATGTGTCTGCACCTGCGCCAGTGTTGGTCAAGTCTGGTCTTGAAGGAGCTCACTCTCTGTGCTGTCACACTCTCTGGCAGAGTGTGCCAAAAGTTTACAAACTTAGAAAAAGTTTACAAACTCAGAAAAATTTTGCCTTGACAATTTTCCGAACTTGTAGCTTCTTCAACAATAAGCTGTGACCACCCGCCCCGCTAGGCTAGCGGGCAGAGTTGCCAACTTAGCGACTTTGTAGCTAGACCTAGAGCTTTTTGTTTTTTTCTAGCGACATTTTAGAGCGATTTGCGACTTGTCGTAAATCTAGAGATATCCACAGAAATCTAGCGACTTTCTGGATACTTTTGGACTGTCCATGAAAACTCAGTTTTCCTAATTTCGAGCCATAATATATAGCAACGGGGTTACAGGGACAATAAATAATAAGAAAAGTTTAATACATTTGAACGGGTCGTGGTACAGAAGGAGGGACACGTCTATTTCCTGATCACTTGATGTCAGCCCGTCCATGCATCTAACACCCTAAAATTGTGGTCAGAAGTGGCAAATTACAGAGATGCGACAGGTGAAAACCCTTACCATGATCTGGCTGAAATTGCACTCGCTGCCTTATCTCTTCCGCATTCAAACGCAGATGTAGAGCGCACATTTAGTAATATGAACTTTGTGAAATCAAAATTGCGCAACAAAATGAAACTATCGACATTAAAGGCAATTCTTACAATAAAGTATGGGTTAAAAAGACAGAACACCTGTTGTGCAAGTTATGAACTTCCTAGTGATATTTTAAGAAAGATAGGGACTGTGGAGGCATACAGTTACAAGATATCTGCACGAGAACCTGAACCAAGCACTTCACATGCTTCCAGCTCTACAGTTGTTCACACTGCCGACGACTACGGAGAGGACTGGGATGCAATTACTATTGAATAATAGGTAAGTGTGCACATTAAACTTTAAAAAAAATATTTTTATTTTTACATAATGCATTTTATGTATACTCCGTCCATTATAGTCGTCATTATGAAAATATTATTTGCATCAAATTACTTAAGGGGGGGGGGGGAATAATAGCTAGCGACTTTCCATGGAAGATTTAGCGACATTTAGCTACTTTAAGGTACCAGCCTAGCGACATTTGAAAATCCGAGTTGGCAACCCTGCTAGTGGGGCACGTCCCCCAGCTCCAAGTATGAACCCTCGACTGAGTAATGCCCTCTGAGTTGTTTATAAACTTCAATTAAGTCGCCCATTGACTACCTGTAGTATAAGCTAGGCAATTCCTGTAGGGGGAGGGATATAAATTTGCCCCACTTAAGAGTTTAATAAAAAACAAACAAATATGAAGCAATATGAGTGTATTGTATGTGTTGATTCAAGATTCACATGGTATACTGTGCATATAAACTGAGAATATGAACAAGTACTGTGTGTACTTATACACAGTGTCGTCGCGGTCTACCGACTGTCATCGTTTTTTCTTTTAGTCACTATCAAAGGAAAAAAGGCCTGACAAAATGCTCACCCCCATTCTATGATTCGTGTTACAAGTGACCACGCGTGTACCTACCGTAAACACCGAATTACCACCCCAAACTTTTCAAATATTTCTCAGTAATTTGTAAGTGACAGCCTTCCCTCGTTGTCACACAGTAATTAAGAGACATGGTAGTGCAATGTCCTATATGTGACGCTCGCTTTCCAGCATCTGAAATAGAGAACCATGCCGAGGAGTGCATTGAAAAAAGGTACTAGTGTGATTCTCCCTAATGTTACAAGTTGCCTTTTATTTGGTTTATTTTATTTGTGTTTTATTCTCAGTTTAGCTTTACTAGACAGCTGTGTATGCATAGTACTGGATTAGAATATAATTTGGGGACACCAGCCCACTACAGTTGATAATTATATGATAGTATACAGAGAAAAAATGCTTATAATTAAAATAAAAACTTGTCTCTTTTAAAATACTTACTATAATGATAAGACCATCTGTGGAAAAAATTAACGAAATCAAATAACTCCTGTTGGTAGTGGCTTCCTCATAAATTACTGAAGATGAATTATTTCTTACCTTATAAAAATCCCTTTAAGTGAGGAGTATTTGTGGTAAATATTTAAAAGTTGCCTACACCTACTTATATATTGAGACTTGTATAGGGTGAAAAATAAAAGAATAAAAATGGTTTATTTTATAACATTTCCCTATAACATTTCGAGTATTTTAACCTATAAATTTACCAACAATAATACTTGCTTAAAGTTGGCAACTTCTAAATATTAACAAGATTTACTGTATGAGTAATACAAGTATTTTTGTTATTGTTTCGATTATGAAAACAAATTTTATTTAGGTAAAATTATCATTTCAGTCATCCATCTATTTGGAAGTTGGTCAGAATCATTCAAAACAAGTCAAAAACCAACATACAGGTAAAGGTATAATTTTAACCTATCTTAACCTAACCTAAACCTCTCTTAGACGGTGGTAACTTAAAATCCTAAAATTTGCTAGATGACTGAAATGATGATAATACAGTACTTTTATACAGTGTATTAATAATCATTTCACCATTTATCACCATACTAGCTGTTAGGGCAGTTGGTCGTTCTTTGGTGCTTTATGACATTTATTTTCCAGTGATATTACAGGAATAAGGTAAAGGTTAAGAAGAAGGGTCTGGGTTAACCAGCTACCTTACAAAATTATTCATAGTAGAAAGCTTATTTCTCATCAGTTAATTTTGATGAGACTATATTTTCATCAGTGAGTTTGGATATGATATTCAATTCTTGGGCAAATGCTTCGTTTGGTAGATAATTAGGCCCACATTAGCGGCACTACTTCATCTTGCACGGCGATAAATCAGTAAGGCGCCCCTGATCAATGCTCAATTTTGTCCTATGCTCTGTGTATCTTTTTGAGCTGCTCAGTCCGGGTGGCTTCTCTCACGTCCACATAAAACTTAAAATTACACCATATCAAAGTAAGTACTTTCTGTTTAATATGCTGGGGGGTGGAGCCCCACGGCTAGGAAGTTAGGTAAGGTTAGGTAGTTTTCTTTGCTTAAGTTAGTGCAGTCTTCTAACAATGCTTCTGCTGCTTGTTTTTCTTATCAACTAAGGATAGGTTATGTTTAATTTAGAAATAGCTACTTTTTAACACATTGTCCAAACTATGACAGTGTCCACTACAAAACACAGTGAAATTGTGGTTTTTAAAATAATTTTCTGTAAAAAATCAGCTATGAGTATCTCAAGAATATAGCAAATCGGGTGGAGGAATAGCATTTCTTATTAAAGAATTATTCCGAGTGTTACTCATAAAGACATTGCCACCTGTCTGCATGAGGAGGATGCTATTTTTGTTAGCATGAGCAGGAGTCCAAATATTTTGTCGATAATAATATTGCTATTCCATTATATACTCACTAAGAACAACAGTAGCAACTTTAGTAAAAAAAAATTATAGAAAGTTAGGATAAATTATTCTTTCCAACATTAAGAAGAATATTGTACAGTAGTAATACAGTAATATTTGAAAATGAGGACAAGTACTGCAATACAGCTGTAGGATTTGCAATTTTCATAATACGTGTTGTTAGCTTGGCTTCCCAGCTCTGTTCTGGAGGTAAGAAATAATTTTTGTTTTGTTAAAAAATTTTGTTAGGCAGCTGGATAATCCAGACCCTTGTTTTTAACTATTACCTAGGAAGAAACAGAATGACAGTACAGCCACTCATCGACTTACGACGGGGTTAGAGACCCAAATCCAGGTCATAAGTCGAAAATGCGAAGATAATATTGTACATAGAAAATCTAAAATGGGTCTCTTTTTCTTCTCAGCACCACAAAACTCTCACTTTTAAGCATGCCAGCCATTTTAAAGGGGGATTACAAACGAACATTTTGTCAGTACACAGCGCAATCACTAACGTCGGGACTCGAAAATACGTAATTTTAATTTTTTTGGGTACAACTGGGGCGGTCGTAAGTCAAATAGGTCGTAAGTCGAGGAATACGTATATGTACTTGGAAAAAAACTGCAATGTTTGGTAGGTATTGAACCCAGGACACAATACTGAGAGATATATTGTAATGTTGTATCACCAGGTGTTCAGTTTTCTTTGTATTATGGGTAGTTGAGAAATATAAAAAGAAATATTTCAGGTTTGGCAACACCAGTGAGCCTATTACTTTCGACCAGATGAGTGATGCCATCAATGTACCTGTTGATGGCAAGAGGAAACATTCTTCATCAGAAGATAATTCCACCATTGTGGAAGTTGATTCTGTAAGTAAAAGATTAGAATCACCTGAAGTTTAGCTCCTCAGCTTTATTTCTCTATAAGATTAACCGCCCTAATGCCTAACCTATCCTAACCTGACCTAACCTGACCTAACTTAATCGAACTTAACCTGGCCTAACTTAATCAAACTTAACCTTACCTAACCTAATCAAACTTAACCTGACCTAACCTAATCAAACCTACCTTAAACCAACCTAACCTGACCTAACCTAAACCAACCTAACTTGACCCAAGCAAACTTAACCTAAACCAATTTAACCTGACCTAACCTAATCAAACCTAACCTCAACTGACCTAATCTAATCACACCTAATCCTAACTGACCTAACCTGATTTCCTAAGGAAGCATTTGAGTGATTCATCATCAGGTGAAATAAGCTGAGGTAACCAGCGGACTCTTCAACTAACAAAGACTCCCCAGACTTACTGTTATTGGTTCACTCCTATTGCCATAACAGAGTGTGCTCCTACGACCATCTGTCACTAACCAACACCCTAGCACAACGTCACCTCTCTGTTCAACTCCTTACACTTCACACCTCCTCTTAATTTCTGTGTTTCTTCACCTCTACACCTTATTCATCACACTTACTCCTCTCTCATTTAAAGTCCTTTTTAACTCTTTGTATGGGATCCCCTCTGAGCTGAATAAAATTGTCTAGCATTAGTCAAATAAGATAAAAAAAGTGGCATCCCCATAGTGATGTGATTAATGGAATCCCAACATTTCTCAAGTTTATTTTCATTTTTTTCCCATGGGCATTTGCTTTTCAGTTTTTTGCTCCATTAGGTACTGTAACTATTAGTACAGAAATGTTTCATGGGACAGCATACGGTATGTACAGTATGTCATCTTGGGAAAGTTGTTTTAGAAAATAATGTTAGATCATAATATGACATGGGTTTATTGTTTAAGGCTCTGGAAATGGCAGGTAGATATAAGAGGCCTCAAAGGGAGTTGATGAAGAAAAGAAATAAGTGATAGTAAATAGTTTGGTGATTTATTGGTGTGAAGTTAAAGTTTGCATCCAAAAGAGTGCTACTTAGCCAGATCATTAACAGAGTTGGCCAGATGACAACATGAATATAGTGTAGTACCAGAAAGTTTACATTATAAACTACACTGTGGCTAATTGTACGGATAAATTTTATCAACTCTTGCAATGGCCGAGAAATTGCACTGGTCACGTCTCTTGCTCAAGGTTAGGTTTGGTTAGTTTTCTTGAGAATCATTTAATTCTCAGCCATCACTAGAGACTACTGACCAGGTATTTAAGCATTTCTACTGTACTACATGCACAGGTATGTTTTTTATGTACAGTATATATTGCAGACTCGTCACTCTAGTTGTACAAAAACATCATCTTCACCATCAAGTGGTAAGAAGTCTCGCAAGGAGCAAGCTGAGGCATGGAGTTTCTTAGGAGGTTATAGAAGTCCAGCACAGCCTCGAGACCGAAAAAACAAATGGCCTGGCAGAGATCAGGCACCACATGATCTGGCTTCCTCATCTCACACTGAAAATGCTCATTCTTCTTTTCCTCAACAATCGGTGCAAAAATCAGGTTGGTGTATAACTTTTTTCTCTTCATTATTATGGATGAAATCCATGATTTGTCCATGAGTGAGCTATGCCTCCAACCCCAGACAAACCTGCTTTCATGAGCGGGCATGATGTATTTCAGCAGGATGTTACACTTTTTGTCTTGGAATTGGAACATAACTGGTACATATGATTATCTTGTTAGCACAAGTTTAACAGAAAATAAAGGAAAAAAACAGCATCCAAAAGTTACAGGAAGTGAGTACAGTACCTGTAATTAGTCCAAGAAAGTGGGATCAATAAAACAACTAGTTAATCAACACGTTGAATAGTACAGTGCTGTACACTAGTTGTATTGAGATTTGAACAAAATCAAAATTGCAATAAGCTACTGTAAACCGTTTTATTTAAAATGATGTACATACGAGTAAGTTGAGAAAATTTTATGTAGTCAAGAAAAAAGAAAACAAGATATGAATAGTCATCCAGATTCATACTAGAAAGACAGTACATATTTTAATTGGGTTTATTGGTTAACAGGTGACAATAGTGGAGTGCCACTGGCAGAGAAGATGCGACCAGCAACACTAGACAACTACATTGGACAGGCATCCATCCTAAGCAGCAACTCCTTTTTAAAGAATTTGATTATGCAAAATAATTTCATCAACATGATTCTCTGGGGACCCCCTGGATGTGGGAAGGTAAGATAACACTGATCAAACTGTATTCTTTTTGCTTTTGCTTGTGTTCAGCTGTCCTTCCTGTGTCTTATTTTGTGCAAACCAACATCTTTGTTTTATATTTTCTGCTTTCCTAAGATAAATCTTGTTAGAATTGTGTACAAAGTCACCACTGGGACCTTGAGATTACAGTACAGTATCACAAAATACTGAGTAAATACAGCACTCTTCTGGTATGACAAGCAGGGCCTGGTTAAGGCTTACACCAAGTACACCATGGTGTAGGGCCCCACAAATTTGGGGGCACCCGTGCCCCCAATCAGGGCGTGGTTAAAGCGTTCTTTCTCACAGATGGGTAGGAGTAAGGTTGTATGAGGCCCTACCTCTCAGACAATAAGTTAAGCAATCTTTTTTTCTATTCTCTCAACAGTTTGATCTCACAAGATCATTAAATTTCAAAGGTGTTGTGAATATCTTTACAGGGCGTCCTTGCTTAACGTCGGAGTTACGTTCCTGAAAATGTGACATTATGCGGATTAATTTTCCCCATATACAGAAAATCATTGCCATTTCTATAGAAAATAGTATATATACAGTATATAGAACTACAGTACTAAGTTTGTATTGGTACTCACCGATGGGCGGAGGTGGTAGAGTGAGTGTGTAGAGCGAAGGAGGAGGATGGTGGGAGCGGAGGAGGAGGAGGGTGGTGAGTCACTGAGACTGTGGCTGCCTCCTCCTGCTCTGACTGGGGTTCCTCCGCCACTGCTTGCTCGTCCTCCGTTGAGGTTCTTCTTCGTCGTCGTCATCTTCAACGGGACTGTGTTCTGTTAATTGTTGCAGATCTTCGTTGGTGAGCTCTTCTGTATGGGATGCCAGGACATCCTCAATATCCTCTGATTCCAGCTCATCAAAGCCTGCCTGTCTAGCCAAGCTGAGGATATCCCTATTCACAGCTGGGACTAAGTCCGTGAATCTCGAAAAACTTTTGACGCACTCGGGCCATAGTTTACACCACACACCATTCAGGCAACTTTCTGAAGCCTCATCCCATGTCTTGCCATTGTTGTCAATTGCATGAAGAATATTGAAGCTATGCCAATATTCTCGGATCGTTGGTTTATTTTCTCTGTCTGTAGCCTTGAGCAGCTGGGCCATGGTATGGCGTAAATAATATGCCTTAAATGCAGCGATGACGCCTTGGTCCATAGGCTGCATCAGCGCTGTCGTGTTGGGAGGCAGGAATACAACTTTTAGATTGTCATGCAAGTCGTTGAGATTAGGAGGATGAGCTGGAGCATTTTCAAGGATGAGAAGAATTTTGAAGATAAGGTTCTCCTTGGTACAGTATTCCTTCAGTGCAGGGGCGGCGTACACATTCAACCACTGGCTAAATATGGCACCGGTTATCCATGCCTTCTTATTTGCCTTGTAGATGACAGGAAGGTGATCCTTAGAGTAACCTTTCAGGGCCTGTGGGTTGGCAGCGCAAGAAATCAGCATAGGCTTCAGCTTGAAGTCATTGGCAGCGTTTGCGCCATGCAGCATTGCAGCAGCGTCAAGCGGTCTTTTGCTGCTTTAAAACCTGGCGCTCTTTTCTCCTCCTTGGAGATAATAGGTCCTCTCAGGCATCCTCTTCCAAAAAAGACCAGTCTCGTCCACATTGATGACTTGCTTTGGTGAGTAGCCTCCTTGCTGGATAATCCGTTTGAATTCTGGCGGGAATGTCTTGGCAGCAACCGTATCTGAACTGGCAGCTTCACCAGTCATCTTTATGTTGTGGAAGTTATACCGACGCTTAAATCGTTGAAACCAGCCTCGGCTGGCCGTAAAGGTCTCTTCCTTCGATCCTTCACCCTCTGTTTCCTTGCTGTCATCAAACAAGGATCTGGCCTTATGCTGGATAACCATAAGGCTCACAGGGGCATTGCGTTGATTCTGATCTTCCATCCACATTGCCAGCATCTTTTCCACCTTCTCTATCACAGTGCTTCTAGTATGAGTCGTCTTAGTATCTTAGTAGTACTCGGAGAAGAACCACTTCCAGCACTAACCTTGATCTTGTCAGCATTGGTCCGGATAGTACGCACCGTTGTGGGGGTTAGACCAAGCATAGTGGCTATGTCCACAGCACGTTCCCCTTTTTCAAATCGGGTTAATACATCCATTTTCGTAGCAAGGGAAATGGTCTTACATTGCCTTTTTGCTACACTAGCAGCAGTAGCACTTGATGGGCACTTGGAAGCCATTTCGAATGGTTAGAGTACAGTTTTAGAGCAAAAGCACTTAAGCACACATGAATGATGTGAAGTCGTAGCAGAGACTGGCTTGGCGTCGCATGGGAACGCTGTGACGTTCCACGAGTAAGGGAAGCGCTGAGCCAAGAGAGCGTAGCGTGGCCAAACGAGCGGGTGATGCGCCATAGAAAGTAGTCCGTAATGATGCAAAACGACGTAGTATCGGATCACTGGGACGTTAAACGAATTTTTGGTCTTTAAAGTTCAGCGACGTAGTACCGAAACAACGTTAAGCGGGACGACGTTAAGCAAGGACTTACTGTACAACAATGAAGTCAAGCAAGTAAACTTTGGTGTCAGTGTTTGAGTTATATATCCTTGTATTTCTTTTGTGAAATATTTGCTGCTATGGGTAAAACTGCTATTATATGCATTAAGTGAAGTAACTTTTGTCATCTTGTACTAAACTAGTATGTCGGAAGAAAACTTTCTTGTATATGTACAAGTTCTATACCCATGATTTCATTGTCAATATTATTCTAAACTAATAATTTATTTCAATAAAATATGCTATCATGAATAAAGCTGTTATAATACTGTATTCATCTTAAGTGTACAGTATTAATTTTATCATCTTGTGCTGACTTATAAATTGTAAATAAAAAAAATGCTTCTAGTAGATAAATTCCAATCATTTTAATTAACCGAGATCTAAAAAAATAAAATAAATACAGTTGATAATGAATACATGAGCCCCCCTGAGCTCCTGGCATAGGGCACCCCCTAACCTTAACTAGGCCCCCGATGACAGGTGCTGCTTCATAGTCATTCTTCCAACCATATCTCTACATGTTGAGATGAACAAACAAACTATTTTTTAAAGTCTTATTGAATAACAAAAGTACTTACATCATCTAAATTAGCACTGGTAATGGAAATACAGTGGCAAACTGATCATACATTACAACTTTACTCGGGAAACACAATACATACTGTTATATTCTTTTTCCTTATGGTAAATATCATGATAATCAAACATTTTATCTGGTCAGGAAAGTACAGTGATAGTGAACATACACTTGTTTAACAGTGACAACTATTCACTCAGAACAAATGGATAAGCAGTACTGTAAAGCCTTGAACTCTTATGTTTATGATATAGGAATGTAATTTTGCATTGTATTTTGACAGACCTCACTAGCAAACATAATCCATGAACGGTGTCGTGGGTCAGACAAGTGGCGGTATGTTTCCCTCTCAGCCTGTACATCTGGGGTTCAGGATGTGAAGAATGTTGTTCGTGAAGCACAGGGAGCGTTACAGATGAGGAAGAAACGTACTGTGCTGTTCATGGATGAGGTCCATAGATTCAACAAAGCACAACAGGTGTGTTATTTAAAAACTATTGAACATTTGTACAGTATTTTCATGAACACAAGGAATCTTAATTTTCACCTGATATATGTTCAAGATACTGTAGCTTTGTTTCTGATGACCAAATCTTTTTTTATTTTCATATTATATATTGTTTTCATGTACTAAGGGTAGCCATATTGTGATTATTTAGCAATTAAAATATCCTCATTGTATTTACTGCCAGCAACCCAACACTATGTTTTAATGATTCCAAAAGTCACAATAATATGTTTCTGTGATTTATCTTGTTATATAGTACAGTATATTTTACTGTATTTCACCATCTTGCACTCTTCTCCTCCCAACCAGTGTGTCCTTGTAATACTTTAAGATGGAGTCTACGATCATTAGAATTTTGTGACTTCCTTTGCATTGTACACACTAGTTCTAAACATCTCATCTCAAAATACCTTCTGTTCTCTTCTGCTCATTAGCAAAATTTTCATGTACGTTCCTGTATCCTGTCAAATACTAGTGTTTTTTCTTGCCTTTTTTCTCAGCTCTTAAATCATTTCAGGGACCTTTAGTCTCCATTTGGGGGTGTGATTGACTTGACATGAATATATTTGTTAGTAGAGGCAGATATGGCGCTAATGAGATCGTGACTTTTCATTGTGCAGGACATTTTCTTGCCCCATGTTGAGAGTGGTGTGCTTACTCTGGTGGGCGCCACAACAGAGAATCCATCATTTACTCTTAACTCTGCTCTGATTTCAAGGTAAGTTGCTCCTCTCTCTCTGTATGTGTGTGTGTCTCTCTCCCCTTTGTTTTTGTTTTAGCATAATCAGATTGTTTCATTATAAAGTTACAATTGAGAATGATTAAAACTGCAACATTTACCTTGAATGTTAATAATAATAATTCTCATTTATTCGGTGTTTTTATCCAGGTGTTTCATTGACACCGGTGAAGATCATTATTCTAATATACCTGTACTTAACATCATTACACAGGTGTCGAGTCATTACCTTAGATGCTCTTGGTCCAAGTTGCATTAGGGTGATAGTGAAGAGAGCTCTCAAAAGACTGAAAATCACCATTGAAAGAAAAACTAAGGTGAAGGTGGAAAATGGAGAGAAAGTTAATGAAGGAGGTGTTGGTAGTGAAGAAGATGAGGAGGAGGAAGAACAGGAAGATGAAGAAACAGAGGCTGAAGAAACAGATGATGCACCTCGGAGGTTTGTTTCAGTTTGGCATTCAAAGTTTGGGGAAATGATGGAGCACCATATAAAACTTATACTAAGACTGATGTAACGTAAGACTTTGTGAGACATTAAGCGAGTGATGAAATTATTAAATTCTTGGGATATATATTTAGAGGAATTAAGGGATTGGAGTGTGAAATATAGTAAGACGACGAGGAAATTTTCATGATACAGTATTCCTGTAGTCATTAGTCTTCATGCTGTACTACTACAATATGTATTTATATTATGGTAAAACATTTGGTACTGTACTCTTGTCCTCCTTAATATCAAATACTGTATTACACATACATGTATCCTCGATTTACGTTGACTCCCAATTTATAATGGTAATCAATGGTGAAATATGGTACAGTATGATAGGTCTTTCAGGAATACAACCCAATCATAAATTGAGCTTTACCTGTAATGTGTCTCCACCATGATGTAAATACTGTACTGATGTGACGGTTTATTCACCAGTTACAAGGAAAATAATGAAGGGTTTTCTATTTCCAGCAATGTGAGAATTAGCACGGAAGCCATTCACTGGTTGTCTGAGATGAGTGGAGGGGATGCCCGGTGTGCCCTCAGCACCCTCCAGATACTGGTGGACTCCCATAACAGTAAACTTATCACCATTAGCGATGCAAAAGAAGCACTACAGGTACCCTTCTCTATTATGTAACTTGTTAATTACTAGTTATATAACTTTAACCCTCTTGCACACGAGATAAGTTTTAAGGTTTCCAGTTCCAAGATCACAAAACTGACGCCCCCAGGGCAGGCAAGACAGCACGCGGTGAATATTTTTTTGCTTTATTAATTTCCCCCCAAACTTGTTTTTATTGGCATAAACTATATATCTTTGGCTTTGTAACCGATTGTTCTACAACATAAGCCACTTCTAATAAACTGTTTACAGCTGAATCGCCAGGCAAGAAGGTGAAGGTAGCGGTGTGTGTGATGGAGGGTGCGGGAGGAGGTTTTGAGAATTGCAAGTAAATGCCAGGTAGCGACGTGTCTTTCTAATATTACGTATTTATGTAATTATTAGATGTTTTAATTGCCTGTATGTTGGCCTGGCAAGTTAATGCTAGGCATTTACATACGTAGTTATAAAGCTAGACATCACATTCTGGATTGAACAAAAAATACACCAATATGTTCACAACCTCCTAGCTCAAAATTGTCTGAGCCACCTGTTTAGTACCTGTACAGTATACCTGTATACTATACACTGCTAGAAGTGTACTTTTATGAGCTTTCCAAAGCAGTAATCAGATTTCTCATATGATCAATAGTTTTTGAGAAAATAGCCAAAAACTGATTCTCAAATGGTAAAAAAAATATATATTTTTCTATTATTTTTGTGCCTATTTTTTATATCGATATAAATTATATTGCATCTTGTAGCCAACACTATAACAAAGAGAATGGTACTGATAAAATTCAAGTAAGTCTAGGAAATCATCCTCTTTTAGAGACTTTTTTTGAGACATTGTCTCTATAACAAGGTTGTAAAGCCTGATACGGTAACGGCTATTGAAAACTAAACACTTTCCCTGTAAGTATGAAAAAATATTACATTACACACTTCTCTAACACTAAAAAGAAATTATTTCAGGGAGAAGGGTAAGCACTATAATCCAGGAGTTGAAGCAGCCGGCATGGAGTTATGTAAATTTAAATGGACATGGCTCACACTCACAGTCTGACTGCTGAGATAATACATTGTTCTGGTCTTCCCTTCCTATGGGCCTTGAGAGTTGCCAATTAGTTTATTTGATAGAACTTACTTTCTACTATTATGCATAAAAAAATTATGCAATTCTGTTGAAAACTTAATTTTTGGCAAATTTTTTTTAAGTTTGGTGACTAGATTTGCGTCACCGTAAAGTTGGTCTTATAATGAATATGATGCGAATCGTGTCATCAAGCGCAAGAGGGTTACGCAACAAATTTTTCAACCAGAGTAAATCTTAAAATTCATGTACTGTGCTTAACCGCATTACCATCCCTTCTTATGTTCCAACTCCCTAAAAAAAAGGTATAGTGAACCCGAACAATTTTGGACTTAATCCTTTCTGAATTTGGTGTGTTTTGGACAGTTTGAGAGCCACAGACAAATATATTTTAGAAAAAGTTAAATCTTTAATGCTTGGTGCAAAATCATGGTGATTTCTCATACATACAATGCTTGACATATCATACACCTCTGGTTACTCCCTGCCACAACCTCTAACTGGTGTAAGTGGTGACCAGACTTATATAATGTGGGGATGTTGCCAGGTGCCATCTCTGCTTTATCATGCTTGTACAGCTTACTCTTTATTGGTGGTTTTGTGACACGTTTAGGGCTCTAGCAATGGCTTCTGGTGGTTGCTCTGTTTGGTTCTTGTGAGCAGCAACTCAGAAAAGCTGAAAGTAATGAAGAGCTGAGTATGGCATAGGTCTTTAGCTCGAGATTCCACTCTTCATCAGTACTTACTTTTGCCTCAGCCTTAGGGAACATAAAATAGGCTGAGTGTCCTGGACTTCAGTTTATTTTAAATATCGTAGAGTACAAGGCATATGATTACTTATGCCAAGGACAAGCAGAAGATTAATGGCTTTTCAGGGGCGGATCCAGGAATATCAAAGGGGGGGCAAGAAGTTGTGGGTGGGGAAACATGGCAAGTACAGCGAACCCAACCAACTGAGGGGTTTTAGGGGAGGCGAAAGGCCCCCAGAAAATATTTTGAATTCTAACGAATGTCATGGCCATTTTGAAGCCATGTGCACTCGATATTAGGAAATATTCTTAGGTCGGTAGAAATTATTTTGTTTATTATACACCAATTCCTGAGTACAAAACTGTATCATAAAAAGTATTGAAATTTTCTGATGAAAAGAGGGGTCCGGATCCCCAGGAACCCCCCGATCCACCCCTGCTTTTTGGAACTCAAATTACGATGGGATGCTGGAAAGGTTTTCTTCAATTTTGGAAAATTTACATTGTGAACATAGTTTAACCCAGTTAGTCTTTAATTAATAGTATTTACTGTCTATGAATTGCATCAATAGTCAGCCGTGTCCCCAAACACTCACCTTGATATCTAATATATCTTGGTACAGTCTACTACTAAAGTCCTTTCGCTTCTCCCCCTGAACCACAAACCCCGAGATTCAGGCTCTTGAACCCGAAGCAGTAGACTGATACATTATATTATTTTGTCCATCAATGCTTCGGATTCATTAGTTTTAATTTCGGGATTCGTGGTTCAGGGGGTTGAGGCAAACAGACTTTAGTAATTGACTGTACTGTACATTACTTCATGAACATTGTAGAAATTATATTATTTGTCCATATTTCCTTGTGCAGGCGATGCTCAGAAATTACATGTACATGCAGTATTATTATGGTACATACAATTATGCCTTTTCTTAACTTTCAGAGAAGTCACGTGCTGTATGATAGAAAGGGTGATGAACACTATAATTTTGCATCAGCCCTACAGAAGTCTATTAGGGGTGGGGATGACAATGCTGCCCTCTATTGGACAACGCGCATGATTAAGGGAGGAGAGGACCCTCGATTCATTGCTCGCAGGCTTGTCAGGACAGCTGCTGAGGATATAGGTGAGCTACTGGTAAATTACCCAGTTACCCACTTCTCTTCTTTTTTTGCTGAACCACACTGTTATTGGTGTTAAAATCATTATAATAGAAGCTTTTACCTTTGTTAATGTTATTTTCCAAGAGCAGTTATGTTAGCTAATAATCTAGCTTTTAATTTTGCTGGTGTGTGTGTGTGTTGGTATGTGGGGCCAGTCTCCTGTATACTGTACGGTGTGTTATGTATATACTGTACTGTACTAAATTTCTGAGTAAGTCATTTAGCTGCTTATTTTGGGTATCACATCCTCAGGCAGTGCCTCATTTTGGCAGCCATAATGTAAAACTATTATGAAGACTATGCTGATTGCTGATGTTACCTTATTTAGAGTACAGTATAGAAATCCCCGTTGAACATTAAACTCTTGAACGAATCCCCAATATTACGAAAGCAAGTTTTTATTACCCATTTGCCTATTAACAAAAGAAAATTCTACTATTACGTAAGGTAAGTCATGCACACCTTACTGTTTTCTCCCCACCAGCTCCATCATCACCACCACTACCTCTATTATCACCACCTAAATTATAATTTCACCTTCCTCCCCACCCACTGTGTCTCATCAACACACTGCCGCTCTCACTCATTCTACTATGACTGTCATTCATGATACAATATTGTACAACAAAAAATACTGTACCTGTATTGCCAAACCAGTAAATAAAGGCCAAATGAAAAATAACATAGTCGCCATTTGTATACACTCCCTGCTTCACCATAGTAAGAGACCAGCTGGGACTCTACCTCCGCCGTCTCTCTAGCAACACCCCCCCCCCTTTACTACACTCTACACCCTTCTCTCCTCCTTCACTGAGCTGGCTAACTCCTATGCAAAGAATGTATATTCCCTTTATGTGTATGTAGGATGATCTGTACATGTAACTGAGTAAAAATAAATGAAGAAAGTTATGTATATCTACCTGAAAATACGAGATGAAAAACAACCATAACACCTCACAGCTTGGCCCCAGTAGCCTGGTGGTTAAAGTCACGAATCTAACCTATTTACAATGCCATGATTAATCACTATTAAGCACTATTCTATCAGTGAGCACTAATAATACCAGTAAATCCAGTGAAATATGGCAGGGAGTGAGGAGAGTTACAACTGCAGACGACACTCAACTAGCAGGCACTCGCCCCCCTTACCCGCTCCCATTGTCAGGTGTACGTTGCCAGGCGTACATATGGGAAAAATACATATCTTATACTTTAGTCAAATTTGAAAAAGGTGACTGGGTCTGATAAACAAATCATATACGGTAAACCATGCATTTTCCTATAATAACATAATAAGAAACATTGTATCATTACTAGAATGAATGAGTTAATATTCCCATAAACAACAATTGACAACTTTGTTTATGTTTCCCACCTTGAGCACCTGTGTCCCACGCGCTTCAATTCAAACGTGTGATGCCTGGTACAATATTTTACTGCAAGTCATTTGCAGTGTATAAGTATTGTGTTCTGTCAATAATGTCTGGTAAGCGACCTGTCACTTTACCATCTGCTGGTGCACCGTAATGAGAGTGGCCAGGGTCCATCAGAAATTGGCCGTGCTCTGGGGCTTAGTGTGTCTACAGTTGAGGACAATTATAAAGACTGCACCAAGGCTCAAAGAGGTTGGTGAATCAGTGACTCCTACTGGTGCAACGAGACTGTGTCTTAGTAGCTAAAATATTATGGAGAATAAGGAGCGACTTTTCGCAGTGTAGTTTGAGGACTGTCCACAGCGTCACATGCCTCTCTCCTTATCTGTTATCCGGGAGAAGGCTCAGTCATTGTGGAACGATTTCCATCAAAACATCCTGGTCCAAGTTCTGAGGCTGCAGTCACTGTGGTAGTGACTTTTACTGCTAGTTGTGGCTGGTTTGATAAGTTGAAGAAACATGCAAATCTTTATAATATTTGTGTGACGGGTGAAGCAGCCAGTTGCAGATGAGATGGCTGCAAGTAATTTCCCAGAAACATTGAAAGAAATTGTCAAGCGTGAACTTTATTGGAAGCGAATGCCCTCCAGAACATACATAGCTTAAGAAGAAAAACAGCACCAGGGTTTAAGGCAGCAAAAGACAGTCTGATGCTACTTTTGGGGGGCAACGCTAAAGGTGATGTTAAACTGAAACCTATGCTTGTTTAACGTAGTGAGAATCCACGTGCACTGAAGGGCATCCTCAAGAACTAGCTTCCTGTGATCTGGCATTGCAACCCTAAGGCGTGTGTGACAAGTGATTTGATGGAGGACTATGTCAAGGGCTATTTTATGCACTTTGTCAAAAATATTGTGAGAACAACAACTTATTTAATACAGTGTTATTGCTGCTTGACAATGCACCAGGACATCCAGCGGCTATGGAAAAGTGATGTGAGAATGTGGAAGTTGTCATTTTATCTCCAAGCACAACTTCCCTGATTCGGCCCATGGATCAGGGAGTCAGTGTTACTTTCAAAACGTATTACCTTCGCTGCACCAACCAGCATCCAGCAATAAGACAGTTTTCCAAAGATTTTAAAATAAAGAAAGCTCTTGAAAATATTGAAGAGGCCTGGAGTGAAGTTCCCAACTGCAATGAGAGGTGTGGAAAAAATTTGGCCAGTGTGTGTTTACAGATTCTCTGTATTTCCACAATCGACAGCTGCTACAAACCAGCAGATCGTGCAGCTGGCTCAGTAAGCAGAATTTAATGATGATGAGGAAAACATAAGAGGATCTGCTTGAGGAACATTGGGAAGACATAACAAATGAAGAATTGCAACAGCTGGAGCAGGAGAGGGTTCGGGAAGAGAAAGAAGCAAAGGAAGAAACAATTGCACACTCTAGGCCGAAAACGTTGACTCTGAAAGGTGTTCAGAAGATTCTCGACTTGGTCAGTCAGACTGTAGAAGTCATGGGTGAAGAGGATCCTGATACAAAGCATGCTGGGACCATCATTGCAGGTATCAAATAACTAACCTCTTCCTATAACAAAGTTTAGAGAAATATCAAGCAGCTTGCCACCCAGCCAACACTCCACGCTTTCTTTAAAAAGAAAACAACCTCAGTTCCACTTCCTGTCATTGCTCAGTCAGATGACACTGTTGCCTCTACCACCATGACTGTATTGCCAGCTACCTCTCCTCCACCCACTGCTGCCGCCACCACCACCACAGTCCTGTCACCTGAGGAGTACAGTGATCACAGTTCCATAAGTGAAGAGGCAGATGATCCTGCTCCTAGCAATAACTAACTAAAGTTTAAGTAACTGTGTTCCTCTGGCCTCAGAGAGGAACAACCACTGCACCTGTTGCTTTAAACATGGATTTGGTGAGTACAATAACACTATTTGTACCTTTATGTTTTACATGTTTTATTGTTTTTATCTACAGTATTTTGATGTGTTGCAATTATTATTTTGTCCAGAGTTTAGTACAGTATATTTTTCTATCACAGAGCATAACTCAGGAACACATCCTCCTTATTGCATTAATTTATATTGTATGGGAAAAATGGTTATGATGAACGTAATCCACCTAACGGTAAGCATTTTAGTGGAACTTAAACCCTTTCATTCAACGGGGACTTGCTGTACTGTACAGTATATGAAATACCATAGACATTCCATAATTGCATAAGTGATACATGAAAGATAAATTGAATAGGTAAGAGATAGTAAATTTGAAAGAAACCAAAGACTGTAGTGCTTAATTATAGGCCTGGGAACTCCTGAAGCGCTGACTCATAGTGTAGCAGCAATGCAAGCTGTACAGATGCTGGGAATGCCGGAGTCGGATGTCATACTGGCCCAGTGTGCTGTGTATTTGGCAAGGTAAGGCAGTAGACATGGCCTTTTTTGGAGATAATTAATTTGTGTCCCCTAATTTGTTTATTTTGACGAAATGATTTTCCCATTTTGTGTCCAGCTGATTACAGTACTGTACATTTAAGTTTATTTTGATGCATTTCCTTTCCCATTTGTGTCCACCTAATTACATTAAATTTATGCATTCTTTGTGTTTTCATTGCTTTTATATCCTTGTCAGGGCACAACACAACCCAGAGGTATATTTAGCGATGCGTCGCGTCAACGAGCACATAGATAATCATGCCGGACCTCTGCCAACTGTACCTCTTCATCTTAGAAATGCCTCCACCAAGCTAATGAAAAATCTAGGTAAGGCAGAATTTTATTTAATTGTATGCACAGTACAGGGGTGTAGATAATTTTATTTTTCTATGGGATATTTTCCTTGGATGGAATTATAGGTTGAGAGAGAGTTGGGAAGAAATTAGTAGGATATTGAAAGTTATGATGGAAGCCAAAGAAATATAAGAAAACAGTAATGAAGTTAACTATGATATTTCTCTTAAAAGTTTTTCAGGATTTTGCATTTATTTTTTCTAATTCAGAGGCAGGAATCTTAACTTGATATCTTCATTTCCCTTTCAACTTTCCTCAGCATTAATTGTAGTCAGATGTTTAGCCTCCTGCCATATGAGTACGAATTAAATAGAAATATGAAAACAAATTTACATTTGGGAGTCGGGTTGAAAAGCATCATTTGACTGTAATCCCAACATCCTCCCATTTGATCAAATAAGACAGTAGGGGATGGCATAAATGACCCTGTTCCCAGTAATGTGTGCATTTCTTCTGTAGTACTCTGTTTACTTGGGAATGGAATATGTTTGATAAATAGAAATATTTGGTTGAATAGCGAGATAAATTTAAACTAGAAACAGAACATGTAAGTGAGAATATTTTGTGGTTAACCTATTGAGTAGCAGGGGTTTCTCTCAGCTGAATAAAATACTTGTGTTATACTACTCCCTTAAATGTTTAAAACAATAAATTCTGCTTTCTTCCCCCATAGGATATGGCAGTGGTTATTCAGCTGCTCCTCAAAATGTAAGGAACATTCAGTATATGCCAGATGCTTTAAAAAATTTAAACTTTTTTAATCCATGAAATTTGTTTCATTATTAATTTTTTTCATAATTTTTCCAACATCTGTTTAAGTTCACTTAGATACAAACTACAATTACAATTACTGCGTGATAGACACATGGTTATGGTACTCTCACATGTACCGTACTTCTCACCAAGATTAATCCAGATCAACTAAATGTCACAAAGACCAAATAGAAACCAGATTATGAGTTCCAGCCACTGGTTTACTCACTTCAAAGTCCAATTTAACAAAATGGGAAATTGAGAATCAATTCGGAGTACCTTTCATGCCCCATAATCTCAGATACTTCTTTGTAAATTCCTGGATACTGTTAGACCCTTTCTAGAGGATGCTTGGCTCTGGTTGTATTGCACAGGTTACTTGCTCATCTCCTCAACCATAAACGATTCTGTATCTCAATCCTTCATATTGATGGTGTCTTTCTATAAACATACTGTACAGTTACAAGCAGTACATTTATATACACACACATAAGGCATTGTGAGTAGCAAGGGCAAGCTGATGAAAACAATGTTTTGAGGAAAACGCATTTGATTTTTTTTCCTGTTTTCATCCATAATTAACCCTTAGGCCCCTGGTGACATTCCAGAACATCCGATCAACACGCCCCGGGTGACGTTCCAGAATGTCCGCCTATTCCGTCCTTTTTTTTTTTTTTTTTTTCCAACATTGATTTTTCTTGATTTATTCCACGGGCTGCCAGCGGCACCCTAACCCGGGGCTTAAGGGCTAATGCAAATTGCTATTAAAATTGTGCCATTTTTGTCTTATTTTGTAGGTTTGGCATAATACATAATGAATATGTCTATGAAAAATTTATAACATTCCATAATATGCCTGATTGCTAATGGTAAAAACTACCTATACAATAGTAATACAAAATAATAAAATATTTTGAGATGGATTTACAATTTGCTGAACTTTAATCAAGATGACAAAAAAAACACAGTCAGAAAAGGTAATGCAGTAATGAAAACAGTCACATTCATCATAACCAGTCATGACCTGCTTGCCTGAAGAGTAGGGGTAGATTAATAATCCAGTACGTCATCGTCCACTGAAGTCTCGTCGACGATGAGACTTCAGTGGACGATGACGTTCTTTTATTTTCTTAAAAGGAAAATACGTTTTTTCAGTATTGTTTAATAAATTACTTTGTCAGTATATTGTTTTTTTGTATTTAATCCTTCTTTAAAAAATCCTACTTCGGCGACATCCTGTCTGGGAAAGTAAATTTACTGAGAAAATGTACAGAAAAGGAGTTATTAACTTAGTAGTTATTTTTTATTAACTTATTTTAAAGTGCATATTTTCTCAGTTTTACTGCATATTTGCATGCATATTTATCCATTTTTAAGTGCAAAATGATCCTAAGCCTACAGTCATCGTCAACAACTGCTGCAGCATCCTGTGCCTCTTGCTCAGTCCCCAGGTCCATAAAACTGCTTGTATTCGGTTGGTATGTTCACCATCAGATCCTTAGTCTTTCAACTTAATTCGACGGAGGAAAGGGGCAAGAATACTATGTTCCTGGGTCACGAGTAAAAGAGCACCGTTTGAACTACCAGGAACCATAGAAAACAGATTTTCCCATATTTTGTCAGCTCGCCCCTGCAACTCGCAATGCCTCAAATAATGTTCAGAAACTCACAAGAGGCACAAGACCAAATCAACATCCTCTCTGGAAGTCCTGAATTTATAGTTTTGTTTTGTGAATAAAGTATTTTTAAATTCTATGTATTTTTATAATTTTCCATTTAAGAAGTTCAGTTAACTTTAGGACCATGGCCAGCCGGGTCCAGCCATCATGTTTTAAAGACTTGAGCAGCAAAACTTTTATCATAATACAGTGGTCCCTCGGTTAACGAACAAAACTTTGATTAACGAAATCCTTACGACAAACACATTTTGTTGTGAGCATCAGCTGATCGGCTAGGCCGCCAATACAGTAATCTGTTCTATGTTTACATTTGTTTCCAGTGAAGTAAATATCAAGAAGGTTGTGTTCTTGAATATTTTTGCATTTTCTATATTAAAATTATTGGTCATTCTAAAATTTAGCCACCCAAGCTCTGTCTATATAAAGTTTTTCAACTAATATTTTTGGCTTGATTATGTAACTTTATTCATTTATTGAAACTCATTTACATGCACACACAGTCCTAAAGGCAAAGCTGTACGGTACATGTAATCAAAATAATGTACAAAATGATTACTAAAATTATTGTCTAGTGCAGGGGTTCCCAAGCTTTTTCTAGCACGACCCCATCCAGTGTTGTCAACTATCCAGTGCGACCCCAAATCATTTCACTGGCAGACCCAAAGGACCCCATGACCTCTTTGCGACCCTACCTAATGAGCCTTCCGACCCCAGGTTTGGGAACCCCCGGTCTAGTGCAAACTATAGCATGTTTACATTAAAATTAATCTTATAGGAATTCCAGCAATGTAAATTATATTATATTCAACCCAGTCACTTCTATGACATTTTATAAGCAAAAAACTAAAACTCAATCTAAAGGATATAAATAAATACTTCACTAGAACTTCTGCGCCAACTATCAAACATGTCACTGTCACCTCCCCTTCCTCCCCCCTCCCAGCCAGGGTTTGGTGGTTATACAGCAGTCTTTAAGTTTTATATTATATAATATCACAGACTAAAGTTAGGAGAATATAATCTTATATAATATCACAGACTAAAGTTAGGAGAATATGATTTGCATTGCTGGAATCCTTGCAAGACAGTGAATAATTTGAATACAGGTTGTACCTCTCTAGTCCGGCAACCTCGGGACCTGACCGGTGCCAGACCATGGAAATTCACCCTCGAAACACCCTACATAAAGCATAAAAACATAAGATAGGACATAAATAAATAAGAAAAAGTAATACTGTTGAAATACTTTTTCATTTACCTTTAATGCTACCATAATTCTGCTTCCAAGTGAAGTGATGGTACTGTAACTCAAATTACATTTGAGTTACATCAGGGATGTTGGCAATTGGGCAAACTAAAATCGTTCCGGACCACAGAATGCCGGACTACTGAGGTGCAACCTGTATAAACATATATTTTGCACAAGAGATAAAAATTTTAGTACATTAGTTTAGTACATTTTAGTAATGTACAGTTTTTCAACTGTATTTTTGGGTAGATGTACATAAATTTCTTCATTTACATGCACACACCATACTAAAATAAATAAATGACCTAAGTGCAAACCTGTACTGTACATGTACTAAATGATTACGGTACTAAAATTTTTATGTCTGGTGCAAATTATAGCTTGTTTATATTCAAATTAATCACTATGTTACAGGAATCCCAGCAAGGTAAATTATATTCTCCCCGGTCATTTCAGTGGCATATTATAATTGAAAAGCTTAGTCACTCTTAAGGACTGATAAATAAACACACATTAGACCTTCGGCACCAACTGTCAAACATAACACCTCACCTCCCGCTCCCTCCCTCTCCCCCATCTGCCCAGCCAGGGTTTTAGGCTTACAGTTTTCATCTTATATAATATCACAGACTAAAGTTAGGAGAATATAATTTGCATTGCTGGAATCCTTGCAAGACAACGAATAATTTGAATGTCATATATTTTGCACGAGATAAAAATTAATCACCTGTATCACATTATACAGTAGTGATTTAAGAGTTCTAGTGTATATGTATATATAGTGATTTAAGGGCGATTTAGGGGAATTTTAGGAGTGTTTCTGACTTTATACATTTTTGGCTTTATTTTGTATGTACTGTACTTTTCTGTGAGCTGGAACCAATTACCCAATATCCCATTGAAATAATGGATTCGGTTAACAAAATTTTCGGTTAATGAACGACTCTGTGGAACGAATTGTGTTCGTTAACCGAGGGACCACTGTACTAGTTTAGTAGATGGGATAGTGATCAGATATGCACAGTCACTCAAAAAAACTATTTCTACTGGGGGAGTAGATGATTTTCAGAATGAACATTGCAACTCCTGTTGTCTCAGTAGGGTTGCCAAAATCCGTTGTCCAGTCATATTTTTCCACAATTTTGTTTGTATAGATAGTTTTTTTTGAGTCACTGGACTGTTTTAAAAATCCATGTTTTATAGTTTCGTAGATTTTGACCAGTGTGGTGAACTGTGGCTTAATTAAAGGTGTTTATTGTAAGGCATTTTAAGATGCACAGAATAGCTAATGCGTTAGCTTTCCTGGAATGTCCATTAAAAAATACAACATTGAACTGCGTCTTGGGAATACTGTACTGTAACTGTTGTACAACACAGTCTTCAGAAAACAATAAAATTTGGAGAACTGTCATTTGGACACATTGCGGAAAGGAATAGTGAAGAAAATATACAGAAAATTATGGAAATAAAGACAAAAAAAAGAAAAAAATCCATCAGTCAACAATAAATAACAACACAAAAAATCGGGCCCATTGTAAAGGTAATTTCTCCCAAACTGTGCAACCACACTCTCCAAAGACCATGTCTCTCGCTGCTAGGTGTTCGCATATTTTTACACGAAATACGATGAATTTCAGGTTCATTTAAGTCTTAATTTTGCACTGACACAATTGTAATCAACTTGTTTACCCTTATTTAAAGTATCTTATGAGTAATGATATTAAAGTTTCAATCATATTTGAGTAATTATCAATATTGTTACACCAAAGTCACCAACGGCTAATGAAATCAGACAGTGCCCACTTAGAAATGGGCGGAGTCAAAACTGATTTCAACTAGGCGCAATCCTTTTCAATTCTTTCACGCCATACGCTTTGTTTTAGGTCCTGTCCAATATACTACTACCGTATATAGAATTATTTATATTATTCTATCACAGTTTTTTATTGCCTTACTTGCCCCCCAACTCTTCAATATTAATCAAAATATTCTCCATACCCTAAGTGCCCATGATCTGCGTATTTTCAGTGGGAGAAATCGCTGATTGGTTGTTAGTTAGTCAGGTGCCGCTGCCCGTTGCACACACTAACCCCTGATCGAGGCGTTAGCTTTTCCCTCTGAAGGTGTCATGCGCACAACTCAGCAGCTGCATCTGCACAGACAGAATAGCTATTGTTCATCTAAAACGACTTACAATAAACACCTTAACTTGGAGATCATTACACACCATAAGCTTACAGTATTTAAATGTTACTGTTATGTTTGTAAAGTTACTAAAAGACAAGATTAAAGCTTATTGAGAATATTACCACAATAACAAAAACAAGAAAATTGCAGGAGTTACTAAAAAAATCACTATTCTTATGTGCAACATAAAAGTGTTTTGAGGTAAGTATGAAAAGGAGTTTTAGGAAGGAAATTATATAACTAAAATGAATCTACAGTATTGAAATGATAACAGGGATGAATAACTGAAAGATTAACCCCTAACTTATTTCACCTGATGATTCAACACCCTTATGTTACCTGAGGACTTAGGTTTATAAGGGTGGTTAATTATGTTGTGGGATGTCCAATCCTCATGTGGTACATAGAGACAGCACAACTACAATGGTTGAGACTGCAAGTTCAAAATGAGTGATGGCAAAAAAAAAAAAACATCAGTTTATATGATGTCTGGCCACCTTGTGACAGAGCAGGGAAGAGACTTGAAAGAATGAGTGAAAAGGCAGGAATTTTAAATTAAAAAATATGATGGAGCCAATTAATTTACTGCCCTACAGTACAATTACACAATAAGAATAAGTATAATATAATATAATTATTTTTTTGCCCAGAATTTCAGCATAATCTCCCACTACTCCTTCATTGACTACTGAACACAAAGAATGGAAATGTATCTTAAAAATTTTAGCTTTCTCATTATCTTTTAATATATATATATATATATATATATATATATATATATATATATATATATATATATATATATATATATATATATATATATATATATATATATATGCAAGTAAATCACTGAAGATGCACGTGATCTAGGTATATGCTGATAACCACAAGGAAAGAAGAAAACACTTAGTTCCCAAGCGCTTTCGCGTAATTCACATCTTCAGGGGTGAGTACTCACCCCTGAAGATGTGAATTACACAAAAGCGCTTGGGAACTTCGTGTTTTTTTTCTTTCCTTGTGGTTATCAGCATATATATATATATATATATATATATATATATATATATATAGTTGGTCCTCATATTACGCGGTCCCGCATTCCGCGTTTCACCGTTAACGCGGTGCCTTGCCAGAACCTAACATTTTCACATTCCGCGGTCGTGAACCCCATTACGCGGAGAGCGGCTGGCAAGCCGCGCCATTTTTGGATCCAAACCTCCCGCCATCCGCCATGTTGTGTAAGAGGCGCGAAAATGGTGCGCACAAGGTCGCCCAGTCATCAAAACATGACCAGTTCTTCACCCGCCACCCACTACAGCCGGCCCAAGTCAGTGATAGTGATAATTATAGTGAGGATATGGACTTATATGAACTTTGGGGGGTTTGACAAAGAGGCCCTGCAAGCCTCTGTGGTGGATAGTGATACAATTGATACAAGTGATACAGGTGAGGGCCAATAATCTGCCCTCTGCCTCGGAACCAACCGCCCATCCCCGTGTGCCCAGCCATCTTTTCTACTAATGTAAGTGTTAAAAAACCTAATATTATTGATATTTCTCTTAATTATTAATTGTGTGTGCATGCCATCATAAAGTTAAGATAATATTTTTACTACAACATAGTTGTGTGTCGTCAAAAAGTGGAGTTTGGGGATCGGCCCGGACTCCATTTCAATTAATCCCATATGTTATGTTATTCACTTTACGCGTTTCTCACTTTCCGCGGTACCCTCCGGGTTACATTAACCGCGTAATATGAGGACCAACTGTATATATATATATATATATATATATATATATATATATATATATATATATATATATATATATATATATATAATCATTTTTTTTTTACACATCCCTATGCATTCTCTTCCAGGTCATCTCATCTACTGTACATTATGCAATTTTCTTGGCTTGTGATAAGAGCTTCTGTTGGGTGGTACTGATTATTAACAATTACTTCAGCAGCATCAGCAACTTGCATTAGGTGATGAGTATGTTGCTGAATACTCTTAGTGTTCTCTGACAGTGTGTCCATGGTGTCTTTGACCAGTGAGTTAAACTTTTCATCCAGTTGGGTCACACCGCCATCTACTTCAATTAGGGCTCTTGGTGGCAAGCTTACTTTAAGCACCTCCTGTAAGAACAAGAACCAGTTACCTTTCTTAAGAACCTTGTCCTTATACTCTTAATCTAATATCCATTACCTTATGATTTTTATGACATAGAAAGCTAAGTATACATACAGCTGTATTTTTTTTAAGTCTGGTTTTCTTGCCAAGGAGAGCAGCAATGTATGCTGGATATTCCTTCCGCTTCTTGGTGACAGCAATAAGTGTTCCCTCGTGTCGAATTTCAACATCTTCCATTGTCTCTGCATCTATTCATAAAACAGAACATTAAAGAATTAATGGTCAAAATGATAGCGAATCCTCTCCTACTTAAAGTTGGACACTGTACTACCTAGTAACTCCCCAACCCATCAATGCTTGTACATTAACAGAAGCCACCTGACAATTTCATCAAGTTAGGAAAATTAATTCCCAAATTAGCTAAATTTAGTACTAACTGCTGTAGTATAGAATATAAAAAGTTTAATGTACTTATAAATAATTTTATTGCTCTTGTTTTCTTCATATGTAACAGTATTGTTTATCTATAACACATAAGTAAACTCCAACTTGAGTTTTACCTTCTTTTGGATGTTGTTGGCTCTCCTGTGCTGCTGTGTTGACCACTTCATTCCAAACTCCACCAAGTATCTGTAAATGATTCAACAGCTTAACAATATCTGACAAAATTTTACTTTTCCTAACGAATACACTACATTAAATGGTATAAAAAGTCGTGACCTATAGTTCAGTGTCATATATCATAAATTCCTCCTCTTATGACTATAGGCATGCAAGTCACAATTCATATCTCCAGTGTACAGAACTAAAATGTGACCACACCACCAAGATCACTACTATACTCTCAAACTGAACCTTCACTTCCACACGTTTGCTGTATATATGTGAACTGAAGCTGAAATATCAAATATGTTGCTACTAAATAATGGTGATGAAAAAAGAAATGCCTAAACAGTTTTATTTACCCACAGTAGTGATCTCTCCGTTACATGGTATCTTTGATCCCCTGAACTCTCATATATGCAGTCACTGGAAGTGTTGGTTTATTGGTAACTTCTTTTTTGCCATCAACAGATCAAGCACTACAAATGTTGCCACAGGAAGCTATTGTGTCGACGTAGACTCATGTTTAGGATGTAAAAATAAGAAACGTAAAAAGAGAAAAGTTCAATTCCTTTACTTTTTTACATTCTAGAGGGCAGGAAGAAAGTGTCTTTTATATAAGTTCTAGTAATAGCTACTTGACGACTGTTGTACGCCTAAACCACCAATGTGAGGACATTTCTCCGTCGAACATAAATGTTTTCTTATCTCGTGAGAATGAGAATACAATACATTTTTTCCAAACTCCGAAGTACCAATGCACTCCTTTAATTACATCCAACATATCTAGGATATTATGTTGGTTATTTTCATGATTTTTTTTAATTGATTATTATTTTAAGTTAGGTTGGTTCATTATTTGGATTAATATTTCTGGCCCTTGACAACCAATCCTACCAGAAACTCCTGGCAACTGTTAACATTTTGGAAGTACAATATATCAGATCTTGCTTCATTATATAATCTATCATTCATAAAGTGAACCCAAATTAACCTACCTAACCTAAAATACAATTACTGTACCTTCTATGTTTACAATCTAAAAAAAAAAATTGTATGAAAGAAACTGACTAATCATTATATAAATGAACATGGCAGAAGGACATTGGCATCATGTCCACGAATTCAATAAGGGAAAAAAAGAAAAAAAAAGTATAATACACAGACCATTCATTGTCCACTCATTGCCTCATAAGAAAATATACCGGTACATTTTCTATGGAGAAATGTCCTCACGTTGGTGATTCAGGAACACTCATTATCAAGTATTCCCAAAATTATTCCTAATATTGATCCTTTTCACAAGTGGGTGAACTAGACTATTACCATTGGAAGATGACAACTACCTTACCAAGTCAAACGAGTATGTTGCTTTCTTGGTAATGGTCACTTAACACAAGACACAAAAGATTTTTCACATTTTTTTTCTGCCCTTCGGAATTTGGGATAATAGTTCCACAAAGACTAGCATAGAGGGAAAATATAGGGTATAAAAACATACAAAGAGAACCTAACGTAACTCTTAATACTGTACTCACACAATACTCAGCATCAAAAACTCCATAACAAACCTTCATATATTCACTCTGTATTCTCTGATTATCCTCCTCAGTCCAATCATCATGACTGTTGATAATTCCAGCAATTTTTGAGGAAAGTTCATTTAAAAAATCAGTTTGGGACATGGTCGATGATGGACGTGAATTCAAACCTTGGCTAGGGAGGGTTAGTGTACTGGTGACGTCACTGGGAGGGTTTGTTTACTTGTGACGTCACTGGGAGGGTTTGTTTACTTGTGACGTCACTGGGTAGGTATGAGAGGCAGCTACTGATCATAATAATAATATTAGTAATAAACCAGTAAAGCATGATTATAAGCTACGCATGTACAGTATGTTCTACATTCTGTGGCTTAATTATAAATTCACTTTCTTCTCTTACACTCCTCCATACAAATGTTTGAGAAGGACGCCAAGTTATTTCGGGAAATCAAGAACCAAGCGGACTGTAAAGGGCTGCAGAAAGCTCACTGTGAGTTCAAAGAATGGTCAGAGGAACAGCTGCTGAGATTCAATGTCACGAACTGTAAGAGGATGCACCTAGGGCGTGCCAAGTAAGGAGGCGTATCATATGTCCCAACGGGATGAAGAAACTGCACTATTTGAGACTGAATATGGGAACGACCTACTGTAGGTGTGTATGTTGACATTGAACTGAAGTTCTCAGGCCATTGCGAGAAGAATGTAAACTAGGCAAATAAATTATTATGTCTTATAACAAGGTCGTTCAGATATCTAGACGGTCTGTCCCTCGTAACGATCTTCAAGAGTGAAGTGCTTCCCCATCTGCACTTCGGCACCTCAACTACCCTGAGAGATTGGAGCGCCTGAACTTGCCTTTAAACTACAGACTATGGTTCCAAATATCCAATACCTTGAGCAATTGGTTAAGTAGGAGCACCCCGGCATGAAACCGTATTGGCAATCCTTTACAAGGTTGTTTCGTAGTAGATGTTCCATCGCGGCATCTCTGATAATACTCTCAGGTACTTTACATATTATGCTGGTCAGGCTCACCGGTCTATAGTTGTTCGTGGAGTGATGGTCGCCCTTCCTGAAGATAGGACTTGCATAAGCCACTTTCCAATCACTGGGGACCTTTTGTTCATCCAGGCATTTACAAAATAGGATCTTCAGGGGCTCGGCAAGCTCGTTGCACAACTCTATTAGCACTGAGATGCACCATGTTAGGGCCGGGACGCTTATGGACCTTTAGCCTGGACAGTTTATTTCTAATACCCTCTTCTGTGAACACAATTTGGGTCAGTGCTGTGTCGAACCGTCTGTCCTCAAACGCAGGAAGGTTAATCGCATCCTCTCTTGTGAACACCGAGGAAAAGAAGCTGTTCAATGCCTCAGCTTTATCCTGGTCAGAATCTGCGTAACTACCATCTTCAAGCCTCAGGTCTGATACTCCTACTCGCGTTTTTAATTTCGACTTTGCATAGCGGTAAAACGCCTTTGGGTTTGACTTGACCTCGCTTGCAACTAACCGCTGGAACTCATTTTCAGCCCTTCTACACTCTACCCTTGCTTGGTTTCTGGCTCTTGCATACATCCTCCTGTCATGCTCATCGTTTGACCCAACTCAAGTCTTGAATTTCTGGGTTTTCTTCTTAACTTTGTCGACCGTCGCATGGTTCATGTGTAGGGATCCCCTCGTATTCCTAGAGGCACTGAGTTTGGTCTTGGGTATATATTTATCGATCAAATGGGTCACTTTACTAGTTATGAAATTCAGCGTAGTGTCTGCGTTCTTGTGCCTTAATGAGTCAGTGCCCTGTGGTACCTTGCTGTCAGGAGTACATATGATGATTTCGTGCCATTAATCGCCATACACTACTTGCGATCAATGAGAGTCTCCGATCTACGCTAAGACACTCCTCCGAATCCCGGACCCTTCCAGTTTAATTTTCAGCCTTTCGTGGGGTACGTTATCGAAAACCTAGACAAACTCGAGGTATACATATAGTCGATATTATCACCCTGTCCCAGAGTATTGGGTTCAAACATCCATTACCTTGAGTAATTGTGTTAGGCGGGAGCGTCCCGGCATAAAACCGTGTTGGCAATCCTAAACAAGGTTGTTTAGTAGTAGAGTTCCATCATGGCATCTCTTAATAATGCTCTCAAGTACTTTACATACTATGCTGGTCAGGTTTACTGGTCTATACTGTAATTATTCGTGGGGTGACGATCACCTTCTTGAAGATGGGACTCGCATAAGCCATTTTCCAATCACTGGGGACCTTTTGCTCATCCAGGCATTTACAAAACAGGATCTTCAGGGCTCAGCAAGCTCATTGTACAACTCTCTTAGCATTCTGGGATGCACTCTTATGAACCTTTTGCATTGACAATTTATTTCTTACAACCTCTTGTGAACACAATGGGGTCTGTCCTCAAACGAAGGAAGATTGGTCGCATCCTTACTTGTGAGTACCACTTTGTCCTGGTTAGAATTTGCGTAACTACCATCTCAAGCCTTTTTTTTTTGGTATCATATTCGCCACTTACCAGCTTACTAGCCGTACGGTAGGATCATACTATAGGGCTCCAATGATAACTTTATGACCATATTTAAACTTTACTCTCGAGGGCTCTATTCCACCATTTTAATTAATCCGTTTATGATAATAGGAAGGTGACATAAGAGGCAATGTTTGGCTCTATTTTTTTATATCATTCGCTTAAGGATAAATTGGAATGATACAGTACATTAATTCTTTATTTTTTTGAAATGTAATATGCATATGAAGATGGCAGTAGTCTACCTAAGCGGTGTTGGTCTATTTTACGTTAATTTATTAATAAATATTTATAATGGAATGATATTTATTATATTTATATTTTTTAAGTGTAATTAATATGCCTAGGAAAGTGATGTAGAAAGTAATAATAGTGTATGGTAGATAAGCGCATGTCAGCCTTCACCTGTTAGTTGTTGTTGTCGTTAAGGCCACTACCACACGTCGCTCCTTCTGACCCTTCGTACGCGCAGTGTGTGAGTAACGCCGCTCCTTGATATTTATCGTCGTCTTTATCAGTCATCCTGCATTTATGTATTATATTGTGTATTCCTAGGTAAAGTTTTGATATTTAGGTGTATGGAGTAAGAGAGTAGAGGTTTCTAAAATAACAAATAAGCGATTATGAGGTGAGATAACATGGGGCTGTAAATGGTGACTGGTATTGTATGTTTCTTTTCTAGTGGTGAGCCCCTCGAGGCGTGCCAGCCAAGATGTTGATGCCCAAAGCAAACAGAGTAGCCATCTATGAGCACCTCTTCAAAGGTGAGTTCACTAGAATGTATTTATTTAGAAACTGAAAACAAAATAACGTGACCATCATGTGCGTTTGGCGTCACTCGCAGGAAGTCTTCAGAGGCTTTAATTTTATGTACAGGATGAAGTGACCATGTTTTTTTGAGCTAAAACCGGGGCATACCAAAAATCATGAAAGAAAAGCCCTACAACCCATACACCAACACCGATAGTAGTTGTACTTTACCTAAAACCAGTAGTATTTGCCTACTTCTCTTCTAATGCTCTTACTTTTCAGTGGTTAAGATTTGGGTAAATTTTTACAGTAAATTTTTCTTGTCGCACCGTTTACTTGTAGCAAGTTAAAATATATTTTTCTAGTGTATTTGTGTGTGCTGAGACCGAATATGACCTTCATTTGTGGCGGAAATTACTTTTTTTTGCGATTTTTTTTTCAAACGTTTTCCGAAAAAAGTCACTTAAGCGACTAAGAAATACACAAAAAAAACTAGGAAAAAAAACCCCCTAACCAAACTTAACTGACTCGTCATATGATGGAATTACCCATTTCTTACCTTACCTGTATTGGCCTGGTTCTTGTTCGTCGTTGCATTCCGGGATTCTTACACAACATAAGAATGGAGGAAACTGCAGCGGGCCTATTGGCCCATACTGGGCTGTCCCATTTACACCCAACCCCTATTGCTCATATAAGCATCCAACCTATGTTTGAAGCTATCCAGCGTTCGCCAATACTGAAAGTTTTTCGCTGTTTATTATTTCATCTTATAAATTATTTTTACAAAATTAAACTAAAAATATTACTAAACATGTTTAGTGTATGTATAACGGATTTTTGTTAGGATTTTACCCTTATTTGCTATACTTTTGGGCACATTTGGGTACTTTTGGGTAATTCGTGGCTCCCTCCTCTACCATCCTCTACCGTGGAGGTTTCGTCAGGACTTCCTGATCAATTTTCTCTAAAATTGCAGGATTGGTCCTGGTGTATGGCCGCACCTCGATTATGCGGTTCAGTTCTGGTGCCCCTATTATAGAATGGATATAAATTCACAAGAGTCGGTGCAGCGAAGAATGACAAAAATGATTCCGGGACTTAGAAACCTTCCATATCAGGATAGGTTAAAGAAACTTAACTTGCATTCCCTAGAAAGACGAAGAGTGCGGGGAGATATGATAGAAGTATTTAAGTGGGTGAAAGGAATCGATAAAGGGGATATAGATAAAGTTTTTATAATATCCGAGCAGGATAGGACTCGGAGCAATGGATTCAAGTTGGATAAGTTTAGGTTTAGGAGGGAGATAGGAAGAAACTGGTTCACAAATAGGGTGGTGGACGAGTGGAACAAGCTTAGCAACTTTGTAGTAAGTGCGGGAACTCTGGAAAGTTTCAAAAGGAGGCTTGATAGATTCATGGATGATAGAGAGTGGTAGTAACTCGACAGGAGCTGCCATGCACAGGCCAACCGGCCTATTGCAGACTCCTTATTTTCTTATGTTCTTATGTTCTCTTTGTGTTCCCGTGAACGGATCGGCCAGACGTTCCCACACCACAATACTCGACAACGGCCAAGTCACTAAACCTAGAGTTTATCACACATGTAACACGTTTCTTGTAGCTATTGTCCGACTTCAAAGTAGCATAATACCGATGCACCTTGGCAACACAATCTTCAGTAGAGTTCCCTTTGGCATGACTCTTTGTACAATATACATTGTCCTTCTTCACCATCTAAAACAAGGTAGGTTTTGGCAGTACTGCCCTTAGCACTTTCCCACACACCACAATTGTCCGGAAAATCACACCTAATGTTCTTCCTACGCTTGTCAACATTAGAGTCATTGTTCAGCACAAAAACACATTATTTTTTGGACCTAAGGGCACAGAGGTATGTACATAACTGGATGACAGGATAGGTAACAGCTGGTGGATAGTCATTAACTTGCCAGGAACCGGTAGTGGATCATGATCAGTGGTCGAGTCGGAAGAACGTCGTCATTTTTTTTTCTTTCGGGGTAGACTCTAAACATTCCTGTAACAACAACAACAAAAAATTATATAATGATGTGAACAATGTATATGTTTAAGGATACTTCATAAAAAGAAGGCAAATTAATAATTTATTATTTCTCACACTTAATCATTCGCATGATGGTTTTCAAAGACCTCTTGTCGGTCATACGAAAATACGGGATCGTCTGTGGGGTCGATCGGAGATGGTAACAACGTTGGAATTTGAAAATGTAATTCGGACTGTAAGGAAGAGAAAATAAAATAAAAATGAAAAGTAAATTAAAAATTTTATATAATATTTCGAGCCATGATACAATAATGCAAGACAGTATACATATAAGTATAGGTATATAACTATCTAGATTTACTTACCGATTCCGATGAGCTTGTTAGGTTATCAGTGGTGGGAGTAGTTGCATTTAAAAGCGGTACAAAATGTTTGGCAGTCCATATTCCATTTGGTCTCTGGTGCAGAACTGGTCCACATAATGTGGATTGGTGTAGGGCCTGATATCTTCTTCGGAGCAAACGTAGTATCCAGAATCTTAAAACACTGGTCAAAGATGCCATTTACTGGTGGATAAGTGGATATAATATCACAACCCATCACACTAGCAGCTGATTGGATGGTCCAAGCAGAAGAATAACTTCTATCCTTAGCACACGCTAATAAAGCCTCTTCAATGTCTGGTGAAACATGTTGAATCCTCCGCAGTGTCAATAACGAGACGTATTCCTCGCCGTTCTGTACTAAGTCTATAGTAGTACGAGCACGCAGTTCTGTGGCATAGGACTCCTCACCAAATGCTGCCAAGGATATTCAGATTTGCCCCCGAGGGGGCTAGTTTATTGGGCACCCCCTTACATCCTGTGCAAGGTGAAGCGCAGAAGTGTTTACAGCGCCCAACAGGGAAGTATGAAAAGTTCATACTTGCTTTTATGACTCGTACATTAAGGGCGTAAAAGCCTGAAGGGTCATATGTTTTGTCAAGTTACATAAAGTGAGAGAATGATGAGTTTGTGGGGGGAAAGTTCCCAGTATATTTTATCTGTTTATGGCAAAGAGTGGCAGGTCCCGAATAATGTCATATGCCAGGCCTGTGACTAGGAGGAGGGATATCTGGTCTGGGAGGGAAGAGGTGTTGGTAACGGCTGGGGACCTATAGGAGGAGGTCATAGGGCAAGTGAGGATGTAGTGAGAGAGGGTGTGAGAGTCGGGTTGGCCACAAAGTTTACAAACAGTGCGGTGAGGCTCAGGGTTGCCAATGTACTCCCATAGGTACCTGTACCCTAGGCGCAGTCTCATGTATATAAGCTGTTGAGATCGAGTCAGGGATTGATATTCTTTGTAGTGGCGTTTGTCGTTACAGCATCATAGTGGCATAGTGTGATGCTACCCCGTTGTTTCAGGTGTATCCAATTTTCGTTGAATTCCTCTCGTTGTGTGGCGTGTATGCGAGATTTGAGATGATTCAGGGAGAGGGCGAGAGTGGCTTCAATATCTTCTTCTTGTGTAGCTTCTTTGGCAAGCCGATCAACAGTGTCACAGGCAGTTATTCCTATATGTGGCGGGATCCAAAGAAACTTGACACGGATGTCATCAGTTCGTTCTAGCCCGGCAACGGCGGCTAGGGTGTGTTGGGCGGCAGGGGAGGAGGGGGAGGGTAATTTGAGTCTCGCTAGCGCAGAAGTGCTGTCACTGATTATAAGGAGGTTCCGGCGTTCAGTGCGAGCATAGTTTGCCCCCTCATGAATGCCCGCGAGGATGGCTATGCTTTCAGCATCAGTGGAGGAGGCCCAGTCGTGGACCCTGATTTTTCTGCAGGCCTGGCGCTCAGGAATCCACGCAGCTGCCCCAGCGCTGCCCAGCATGGTAACAGACCCATCACAGTAGACGAGGATAGGAGGGTGGGAGGTTTTTAGAGAGGAAACGACATCATTAATCTGCTCAAGGCAGTTAAGTTTGAGCATATACCTCAGTTGGGTGGATTTACGACCAGGGAAGGTGTGGACGACAACATCAACACAGGGGGAGGTCCACGGCGGTAGAGGCGGATGAGTGTACTCGGGAGGGAGAGAGGTCGAGGGGGTGTAGAGGTGATAACGCAGGATGTCAGCAGCAGTGTGGATGGGCCAGAGTTGAGAGGGAGGGGGGAAAGTAATGGGGACAGGCCGGTGCAGGAGGGTGTTAAGATGTGAGTTCAGTGAGCGCGACAGGGGAGTCGGTTGCTCACTGCGAAGAAGTTTAACACCAAGGATGGCATTGAGAGCAGTAATTCAATCGCAGACGGGAAGCAGGATTAGTTCGCGCTGCATGACTTCTATTCTGGTGGTCATAAGGCAGCCGAGGATGAGTCTCATCGCTCTGTTTTGGATTTTCTCTGCTTTGTTTCTTGCGCTGGGAGGCAACTACAAGGACAGGAGAGGCATAATCTATGACAGCTCTGACGATGGCAATGTACATGAGATGTAGGACTCTGACAGAGGCTCCTTTGAGGCTGTGAGTGAGGGACTGGAGGGTGCCAAGGATATTGTGTTGAAGAGGCAGTTTCCATCACCGGTCACAGACACCGGCTGGAAACCCAGGGATTCACCCATCTTCTTAAGCATCTTAGAAGCCACTTTATCAACGCTCTGGCCCTTAAAGTGTATATCCGGTCTACGCGCAGGAACCTTGCTGTTCCTCAAAAGGATGGCCTCTAAATGAACAGCCGCCTGCAGACTGGTCTGCCCACCCTTGGCACCATCACCCAGTCTTCTCAAAGATGCCGAGAAGTCGAACTTCCCACCAAGGCTTGTACAACTTGTGCAGATATAGTCCGATTCCATGCACCCCAATTCAGTCATTTGATTCGAATTCAACTCTTCACAGTTATCGTGGAACCAAGAATGACAAGAACCACAATAGATGGACCAATCGTGTGGCTTGCAGTTTTCATAACAAACACCGCATGGGTATTGGACTACTCGCTTTCCAGGTGTGGTTTAGAAGATC